TGACTCCAAGATCCTTCTCTGCCTCTGCACTGACGAGAGGGAGCTCCCCAGCATGTAGGTCTGATGCTGGTTCTTCCTCCCCAGGTGCAGTACCTTGTACTTATCAGTGTTGAAACACATCCTGTTCTCATCCGCCCACCCCTGTAGCCTGTCCAGATCTGATTACAGCCTATTCCTTCCTTCTAGCGTGCCCACTTCACCCCACATCTTAAGTCATCTGCATATTTGAACAGGGTGCATTTTACCCCTTTGTCCAAGTCGCTGATGAAGATGTTGAACAGTGTGGACCCAAGGACCGAGCCCTGCAGAACCCCACTGCCCACATCCCTCCAGGTCGAATAAGACCCGTCCACCACCACTCTCTGGGTGTGGCCCTCTAGCCAGTTAGTGACCCATCCGACTGTGTAGGCATCGACACCAGTCTCCTAGTTTTTTTAATGAGGCATTAAAAATGCCTTTTCTTCAGAGGCATTGCATGTTGGATGCAGCCAAGGCTGGGGATTTTGGCTGGGGTATTGCCAATGCTTCAGCTGGGACTTAAATCTCAAGTTCATGGCTAGGGGGTCTTGCCCTTCCATTCAGGGTCAGGTTGATAGCCATATTCAGGGTCAGAAAGGAATTTTTACCCCATGGTCAGACTGATATGGATTGTGGTGGTCTTTGCCTTCCTCTGTAGAGAGGGGCATGGACCTCTTCCTGGAAACCTCTTTTGAGTGTATACTAACAACCTTTTACAGAAGCAGGACATTGACCACCATGGTTCCCCACCCCCCCCAACAGTTTCCCTGTGGCAGGTTTGCATGTTATGTCTTGTGTTGCGTCAGGGTTGACTGTGTAGTTTTGTTAAGAGGTTAGACAATGGATGTGTGTGGGATGTTTTGGAAAGGGATGGTCCTGCCTCTGGCAGGGGGCTGGACTAGATAACCTATGGCGGTCCCCGCCAACCCTACTTCTCTATGATTATCTATCTTAGCCCATAGGGCTGAGAATGACCTCCTAATACAAGTTAAGCACCTGGATTAAAGTGCATGTAATTCTCGAAAAACTATCACATGGTACCCTAGCATCCCATTTGCTGAAAAAGATATGTGCTATATCTGTAGTCCCACGGAACCCTTGGAGTTTCAGCTCCATTTTTTCTGAACAATGGTTTGTCTTATTTCTTTCTTATTTGTTAAAAGACAACCAGCAAATACCAAGATGTGCATCAATAAAAGTGCAAACTCAGTCTGCTGTGTATTCAGAATTCTCTGTTACTCCTCTGACTTGTTTATCAACTCCAGGCCATCTGGCATTTCAGTTTTTTCTGTTCTAATATGCTCCTTAGTATTTCAAGCAGAACAGCACACACAATAATGCCCCGACTTTAACAATGCTCTGATATAAATAGAACACTAATCTGTTACTACACTTAAGTTCAGGTGATGAATAGGCAGCATTCTTAAACTGTTCTTCTCCGAGTTCTGCTCGTATAGTAGAGCGAGCTATGTGAGTGGAATTTTCATAGTTTTTAAAAAGTAACTGGAAAAAGTTTGTCGGCTATAACTTAGTCTGAGAAAATGCTTGCCATGTGTGTGAAATGATCACACAACCATCTAGCTAAATTTACAGCATAAACTATTAGCATCTTTTCAGAAAGGCTGACTGAACTACAAACAACACATATTTTACCTGTGATTTCTTTAGATGTGCAACTGAAGGAAAGAGTTCCATCCAGAGACTGAATAAAGTGAAAAGGTTGACTTTAGAAAGCCTTGGTGTTTGACCTGCAATCAAAAAAGTCATTTAGTGATAAATTTAGGTTTCAAGACACTTATTTAGTGTTCTGTAATATAGGTATAGAGTTGGAATTCATTATTTAGTATACATTAGAAGCGAGAGTTGCTAAAGCAACTCTTCAGCTTAAATTTTTTGCTCAAGTCACAGACTAAGCTTTTATAAACCAAAGACTAATATTAAAATGTTACTGTGAATTACTCTATAGAAAATTTAAATTGTGTTGCAATAGTACATACTTAGTATGGTATAATGTTTCCAAATGTATGCATGTGCAATTCAAAATGCTTATTTCTAGGAGTGATAAGAAGTGGTTAAGAACAGGGTCAAGTAAAAAATAAAACAAAACAGTTCTACATAGTCGTTTTGAAAGTGAATACAATTACAACCCAAAAGTGAGCCATTTCAACTAATTATAAAGAGACAGGCAATAAAACTTAAATTGTGAGGAACCCATTTTTAATAATTCCCCTCTGTTTAATATCCTGAACTTCACAGAAAGCATCTTCCATGAAATCTTTACATGGGGTATAGATCACACAAGGTGGGGTGGGAGTGGGTGACAAATCAGAACTTAATTTCACAGTGGCTACCTTCAGCACTAATGTCTGAACACACCCCTTCACGAACAGCAAATGCACAGATTGCTATGGTTTCCTAATACTGCTATTAAAGGAAAGAAAGTGGAGCTTTGACAGAAAATATGATAACCAGCAAATAAGTTACAAGATAAAAAGATATTCCAAAGTACATCACAGCCAAGGTAGAGACTAGCAGTGGGACTGTGCAAAATTTTGCCAGCAGTTTCATTTTGACGCTGTTTCGACTTGTTTCGAGCTCAAAACAGCAAAATTGAAATGATACAGAGAGCTTTGAAACAGCCTCGAAACAAAATGAGGCAAGTAGAAATGCTTTGAGTTTCGAAGCTCAAACTGAGCTTGCTTGCAGGAAAACAGAAACTAAAGTGAGGAGAAGGAGGGGGAAGAGGGGGGAAGGAGTGCTCTCATTATTGACTCTGTTGCTGGCCAGTGACTGTCATCCTTTCCTGAGGTCTCTTCCAATCCCAGTGCTCTGTGGGAGGGATGGAAAAACTGCATAAAAGGCAGCATTGTTTGAACTGCCTGGCTTTCTGCCTTGGTGTCAGTGGAATGAGGACGCACCTTAACACACACAGTGTCACCCAGCCATGTCATGAGTGTTGCCTGTCAGCAACTAGAGGCGCAGGGCCCCAGAACCCAGACTCCCCCTGCACCTATCTCCTTGACAACTGGGAGGCTTCATGGCTGCAGAAGAGCTTAGCAGGCCTGCAGTTTTCACACCCCTGTGCCACAGGACAGACACAGTCCCACAAGCACCCATGCCACAAGTTTTGCCTGTCAGCAGCTAGAAGTGCAGGATCCCAGAACCCAGAAGCCCTGCACTTATCTCCTTGACAGCTGGCAGGCTTCATGACCTCAGCAGGGGCTAGCAGGCCTGCAGCTTTCACCCTGCTGTGCCTTAACACACAGTGTTACCCATGTCATGAGTTTTGCTTGTCCACAGCTTGAGGTGCAGTTTCCCGCCAAACCCCTGCACCTGTCTCTTTGAAACTTGGCAGGCTTCATGCCCTCAGAAGGGGCTAGCATGCCTGCAATTTTGACCCCACTGTGGCTTAACACATACATGTGACATGAGTTTTTTGCTTTCAAGACTCTGAGGTGCAGTTTCCCTGAAACCCCTGAACTTATGTCCTTGCAACTTGGCAGGCTTCATGCCCTCAAAAGGGGATGCAAGTTTCATTCAAATAAAGTCAAAAATGACAAAGTTATAGGCTGTTTTGAGCTTCCCCATTATAGCCTATGGGCAAAACGTTGAAACAGAGTCAAAACAGCAACACTGTTTTGACAAAACAAAATGGAACAGCGGTTTCCAATTGAAATGAAATTCGAAATGAAATGCTGTTCCGTCGAAACATCGAAATGTAAGTCGAAATGGAACGGTGCCGTTTCACACAGCCCTAACTAGCAGATCTTTCTGTGCTATTATGGTGTTTTACCAGCTAACTGATACTACTCAGAACTTTCTGGATCCTGGTTTGATCTATTGATCCAAACTGCTTGCACGCCGATGCAGAAAGCCAGTTCCATACAATATGAATGGGCAACACTTTGCACTGTAGTTCACAGAGGTTCTCTCACCTGCAGACAATGAACAGCAAAGGTGCACTGAGCTGTACTTAAACAATGTGCATCAACACATTAGGAAGGTTGAAATAATACAACTCATCCCCTGTCACTCAGGCCCATGCTCTTATGAATAGTAAAAAATATCCAAGATTGCCTGAAAAAAGTTGAATAATCACTGCAAAGTATACCTAGTGGTCACGTCTCAAAAAAACATTTCTGGACCCAGCAAATCTTACTAATCATTCTTTTGTTTAAATATCACATTTCTGATTAAGATAACAACAACAAACGACCTACCTCTACTCAACTCCAATATCTTGGACCTTTTCTATTCCAAGTGAAAAGCTGGTCTGGAATGACACAGCACTGGTAAAGCTGGTGGAGGACCTTCCACACCTTAGTACTGAGGAAGCTTTGACTAGCAACGTTACAGGCAGGTCAAGGCATACTACTGTTTTGTCTCAGACACAGGAATGGTCTAATGGAAAACCTCTGAAATGGCCCCGTTTTCCTTTTTTAGGAGCTTTAACAGAGCTGTGATGGATAATTACCACTTTCCCTCTAGAGCAGGGGTGCTTAATCTATAGCTCACAGGCCAACTCCAGAGCTGCAGTAAAATTAATGCTGCCACCACTCCTCTGCCACCAAATTTCTGGACCTGGAGGAAGCCCCCACAGGCCAGAGGGCCTGGCCCAGCATGTAGGGATAGTCCTAGCACGCCCAAATCACACCTGTGGACTGACCCTACGTGTTGACCCCATTTTGGACCACTTCTGCACCACTCATCTAGGCAGACAGGCTGAGCACCAGTGTGTTACACCTTGGAATAGCATGAAATCTTTTGAAGGGTGCTGCAACATGAAAGGAGATAAGCAGGTAAAAGTAAATAAATGCAGGTTTGTTCCTGCCTGCCTGCCGCCCTGCCCCCACTGCCCAGCCTTTCTGCCTGGAAGCAAGAATGGTAATAAATAAATTAGTTTCTGAAATGGGGTATTGTGCAATTCGCAAGTTATGGCAGGGTGTCCCAAGTCCAACCTGTCAAGTCCTACATGACAATCCTTTTGAAAAGCTACTTAAAGGAAGAAAGGGATGAGGGCACAAAGAAAGTGTTTTCTTTTTTCTTTTTTTTTTTGGAGGGGGGAAGGGGAAGGAGTGGGGAGAAGGGAAAAGCAAGAGGTGCTGGATACATGCGAATCTTGCCTGACTGTCAAAGCAACTGTAGAGCTTGAGATTACTTTAATAGGTCTGTTGGCGACAGTAAAATAAAGGTACCTTTCAGGTACATCCTGGCACATTCCCCTGAGAGATCTTAACTCCACAATTCTAGCAAAAGTAGCTTTATATTTGCATAGAAAGTTTCCAAAACTCAGCAAGAGTAGTCTCATGGGACAGCTCCTGCACCTCTGAGCTATGCTAGCATTCTGGGGAGTGGATAGGGATCAAGCTTGGAGGAGTTGATGTTGTCTTGCAACCAATATAAAACCACAGAATTTGAGAGGAGCAGGGCAGGAAGGGTCTTCCAGAGGTTGCCTAGTCCAACCCCCTGCTAGAGGCAGGATCATCCCTATCCAAACCACCCTATACATACAATCTCAAGGGTCTCAAGAACCTGAAGAGGTATTACCAACACCTCTGGAAAATCCTCCACATCAAAAGGGAAGATCAGCACACAAACACCAGGATCCTTGATGAAGCCAATGTCACTGGCTCCGAGTCTGTGATACTCAAGCACCAGCTCCACTGAACCAGACATCACGTGTGGATGCTCAGCTCTTGACTCTGCAAACAAGTGCTCTGCTCTCAGCTTAGCAATGGCCTGAGATCTCACAGTGGTCAAACGAAATGCTACAAGGACGCACTGAAGGAAGACCTCAGGAAAACAGATGCTGACATCAAGAGCCAGGAGGAGCTGGATGCTGACTGACTGGTGGCACCGCACCCTCGACCACTCAGCAGCCTGCTTCCAGGAAAAGTGCCTGGCCCTCAAAGCAGAGACGAGAGAGCAGAAGAAGGAAAGGGGGAGGCCTGCAGCCTGCTCTCCCTGTGGAAACACCTGCAACAGATTATGGCTCAAAGATGGGTTTCTTCAATCACCTCCAGACCCTATCAACAAGTCGTGATAGGGACCATACTCGAATCCAGAGACTGCTGCTGATACAATCTGGAACCTACATCAGCAGCGCCCAACCTTTGTTGCCTGAGGCACCAGCTAAGCAATGCTCAGCCCACCTGTGGGCTGGACTGGGTACAGGTCCTGATTACGGGTGGGCACCATCCAGCTGCGTGGAAAGGTGCAGGGAGGGGAGGGGGGGGGCGGGCAGGGCCACAGGGGAAAGGAGCTTGGTCGGGCCCTGTGGGGGTGGGAGCGTGGCCTAGCCAGGATCCAGGAGTGGGCAGCAGCGGCATGGATGGTCCTGTGGGACCCGGGTTTTGGGCAGGGGGAGACCACGGAATGCTGCCCTCAGGCACCCCCACCTCGACCTTGTCGCCCACCCGCGCGCAGGCCGACGGAGGCGGAGCCAGCCGGGCGGGTACCCACAGCACGCCCGAGGGCCGCCCCCACCGCCCGGCCCGAAGCACGCAGAGCTGCGCGGCCGCCGTGGAGGGAGGGGGGAGAGACTGACCTGCGGCGCTGTCGGTCTGGGTGCCCGCAGTGCTAGCCGCCCGCCCATCGCCCGCGCTTTGCATCTGCCCTGGCTGCGTCCCGCCGCACATGACAGCGGCCCCGCCCTCGCCAACCGGCGCCGCTACGTCAGCGCCCGGAACCGATAGGCCTCCGCAGCCCAACTGGCAAATCGTGGGGAGGGGGCGGGGCTGGCAGCGCCTACAGACATCAGCGGAGTGGGCGGGGCGGGGTCTGCGGCTGCAGAGTGCGCGTCCTGCCCCTGCCGCTGGTTAGCACATACCCTGCGCCGGCGGGTGTTTATGCGCGTTTCTGCTCCTGCTCCTACCCCTACCCCCGGCGGCTCTAAGCTGTGCTGGCGGCATGGCCCGCCCCGGCCATTACAAGTCTTAGGAGCAGAAGCCGGGAGCGCGCAGCGAGTCAGGCTACATAAACCTTGATGACTGAAGCTGGGAAAGGGGCCCTCAGGCTGTGGAGCCCCCGGGTAGTGCTGCTGCAACCTGGCTCGACAGGGGGGAGAAAACCAAAATGTGACTCCTGGCCTTCACTCATTCCAGGCAGTGGAGGATTGTGCGTGTGGCAGCAGTTTATAGCCTAGTTACTGTAGCCCTGCCCCGGTGTGCGGGCTCTGGTCCCCGTGGTACTGTGACCCTCACTCCAGGCCCTGCCACATCTTCAGATTCAAGCTGGATAGAAACCAGCTGTAGAGTCCATTCAAGGACTAGCTTCATACCTGGTTGGTTCTTTTTATAGCCAGATAAGGCATTTTTAGGGTGTGATACTTAATTACTTGGCACCAGTCTAAATTTATTGCACCAGTTAATTGCATAATATATATCTGGTGTGGCAGGTGCCTCTGGTGTAGCCTTTCTCTGCCCACCTGTGTGTGTGTGTGTGGGGTCAGAGGCTTTGGGGTTCTCACTTCTGTCTTCACTGCTTGTAGAACTGCTTTACTGTTCACAAGTGAAGTGTATAGTTATGAAGAGTAGGGGTAGCAGGTCTTTATGCCCACAAGCTACCTGCCCAAAACCATGTCATCTGTAGGCATGCAAATGTTAGGCCTTGAGAGTTACACAAAGGTTGCTGAGGGGTCAGCACACCATGGCTAGGGAGAGACATTCAAAAAGCCTGAGCCTGAATTGATCCAATCTTTGCAGGTTAGTCTAACCTGGCTAGGCTAAATCATTTTGTAACTGTCCAGACATCCCCCCCTGGACTGAAAAAATGCTGGCATATGCCTGCAGTGGCTTAGGCAAGCAGACAGGGGGTGCTAGAGTAGCCTTTCCCTTCTGCAGTTATCAGCTCTGTTACCAGTGCTCAGTGCCCCATCAGAAAACAAAGCCTTGCTCATTAGTTCAAGCTCTTCTTAAACAGCTTTTTCCAAAGGAAGGAATGCAGGGGCATTACCAGCTCAGTTGTAGATTAGCCCTAAGCAGACACTGTCCTATCTACCTTACACAGCATTAGCTAGTATACCACATGCTGGCTATGGCCTGTGCTGTGGGACAGAGGAGGAAGGGATCTCTGCTTAAGCAGTGAGTGGTAAGAGGGAGGGTGTGGGGGCACGGGAAAGCCAGCAGACCCTGCTGTGTCTGCAAGTTTCTATCTGAGCTGCAGCCAGGGAGCAGAGGGGATCTCCCTTGTAGATGGGATGTCTGCATTGAGTTTTAGATGCACTTGGCCCAGCCCAGAGAGCATGACGGGATGCTAGGGGAGTCTGATTTAACTTAAACCAGCAAGGGGTCTGTGATAGACATTGCATAAACCAATTTGACCCAAATCAGTTAAGTCTGATAGTACATTCAACCAGGTTTATCTCGAATTGGTTTCAGCCATTTTCACACTGGTTTATGTGCATTGAATGTCTATTCTGTTACAGGTTTAAACCAGTTTCTGATCATTTAAACTGGCTTATGTGTAAGGTCTACTCAGACCTGCAGCAGGCTGGGCCTCAGTTTTGGCACAGAGAGATTGTGTGTGGAAAAACAGGAAAGACTGGATGGGAGGGTCTATAATGGTTTTTTGGATGGCTTTACAGCTTGGCTTTTTGGCCCAGGTCAAATGTAAGGTAAGGAAGGCATCTGAACTCCCAGGCCTGAAGGTTTGGGACTTGTACATAGGATGCCAGCGTGGATATGCAGAGCAGCTGAACTCCCAGACCTGTTAGTCTGGGTCATGCGCATAGGATGCTGGCCCAGTTGAAGATATATGGCCAATGGATACTTATAGAAAGAGTTACTGAGCTTTGCTCATTTGGATTTGGAATTTAATTGGCTTTTGGATTTGGACTGAGACAGCAATAAATCCATTTCACAAACTCTGCTTGTGAGTTTAAATCTCTAAAGTGGGCTCAGAGAGAAGCCTGATGTACTCACTACAGCTAAAAAAGCTGAGCTCTCTGATTCTGCTTTTGAAGTTGATCAGGATCTAAGAGAGTTGAGGTTGCAAAAGGATGAACATTGGCAATCAGTGCTGCACTAGTGCAGCAGCCATTCCCCTGCAGTGGATTGTGGGCAACTCTAAAGTAGGCCCCCTATTCAGAACTTTTTACTTTAGGCTAGTGTAGGTGGTACAGCCTCTGGACCAGGCTAGTGACACAGGCCTCTGAAGGAGGGCTTTCCTACTTTGCATCTGCCACTGCTAGCTGATGCAGATAGTAAAGCCTCAGGCCTTTCTCAATGGACTGGGCTAGCTGATAGCTTGCCTGGGTTGGTTTGCCAGTGACTGAGACTGCTAAGTGTTTCAGGTAATGTTTAAAGTTAAGGTTTTCTTTAAAGTTGTCTGTTTGTTCCCTTTTCCCCTGTAATAAACCATGCTTTTTATTTAATTTTGCTTGCAGGTGGGGAAATGTGTTCACTTTCTGGAATACCCAGTTAAAATTTATTTTCCCAGGTCCCTGGGTGGGGGCTCAAGCCAGATTTAGAAAATGTGTATTAAACCCCTGAATTTGAACCAGTCCCTTATTACTTCTGTCAAGCGCCTGGCAAAAAGGTTACGTTATAGTTGTGCTTTTGCTCTGTATGCTGTAGCAAGCACTAGGCAAGGTTAGTTCAATCTGCTCCGCAATTTTGTCAAAACAAAAGCAAACCACTTGGAATTCTTTTCTAACAACATGCATCATGGCTGCAGGCTAGGTGCACATCTCCTTTCCTGTCCCTGAGTACACCCACACAAATATCAGACCTAGAGCCTCCACCATGTATAAGATTGAACCCTGATGGTCTTCTCTAATTAAGTGGATCTGGGCTCTGGTACCCAGTCTATCAACTGTGTTTGTCCAGGCAAGACTTACGGGATTTGCTATCTGCAGTTCTTCCGGCTGGGAGTCTGCAGTCTGTAGTGAATACTGGAACCAGTCAGTCATCTGGACTCAAACTACTGTTTGTTCATAACAACAGGAGGAGAGAAGATTTTAAACAACAAACAGTCTGTAGGTGTGTCTGTCCTACCTAGAGTGTTAGATGTAGACTTATCTTAGCTAAATCTCAGCTCAGTGGACTCTGACGCCTAAAAAGCCATTGTCTGTTTAAACTGTTTCCACAGAAATTGAGCCAGTCCTCAAGACCTATTGGGCAAGACCCAGAAAGCAAGTGTTGAGCGTCTGCATCCAAATGAATGGTTCTTGCAGTCTCTTTAAGTAGGGCAGATAGGGTTTGCCTTCTCCCGCCTGACACTCCTGCTATTGGATTACCTCAAATATACATCTACAGCAAACATCGCAGCATATACCAGTCAGAAATGATCACAGATTACTTCAAATGCCCATCCCAGCATGCTACCAATTTCCAACGTCAGGATACAAAACTATGGACTGATCTGGTGCAATCCTGGCCCCACTGATGTCAGTGGGAATACTGGGTAAAGGCAGGGTAGATTTGCACCTCTACAGACTAACTACATCTCTGATTTATAGCATAAGCTTTCTTAAACAGAGGGCTTACTTCATCAGATGCTGTGAAGGGACTGCAGGAAGCAGAGATGCTAAGCAGAAAGCAGTGATTAGAATACAAGGGGTTGGGAAGGTGGAGGAAAAAAGAGAGGGCATTGCTTGGAGAGACAAGGTGGGTGGGAGAGGGAAAAAAAAACAACAAGCAGTTAACCCATTGAGGGATGTAGGATTTATAAAAACTAATCCAGGTAATGGGATAAGAATCTGTAGTCTCAATTTTGACCATACTTAATACAATCCAGTCGGATGATTTCTGGTTCCTCAATTTCCCTTTCAAGTTCATTTTTAAAGTTTTGTTGTCTAAAATCAGCCATTGTGAGGTCAGCGATGGAATGTCCAGGGAGGTCAAAGTGTTCTGCCACAGGTGTGTCTGTCTGGAATTGATGTCCAGCTGGTGTTCATCCATAATTACATGTAGGGATCTGTCTGTCCAATGTAGGTAGCACAGGGGCATTGTAGGCAGATGATGGTATATATGATATTGGCAGAGGTCCAGGTAAATTAACCTTGTATGTTATCATCCATAGTATTTCATCTAGTGATAACGTGGTCTATGTTGATGAGGGGCATGGCTAGCATCTGGGTCTGGGGCAAGGTCTGGCACATTGGTGAGAATAGGAGTTAGGTAGTCTGCTGCTAGAAAGGTGTTGTTTGAAGTTGGGGGACTGCATGTAAACCAAGACAGGTTTGTCCCCTGTAGCTACCTTGAGATAGTCATCATTTTCCAGGCGAGGTTAGAGGTCGTTAATGATATGCTTGAGCTGTTCAAGCTACGGTTTTTAGGTGACAACCAAACCAAAGGAATTCTGTTGTCCTTGTCTTGGGGTTGGTATTTCTAGCAGGTCAGAGCAGGGTCTGAATCTGGCTCTGTTGATTTGAGTGGCTGCAGTATTAGGATTGTATTGTAACTCTAGGAATCCCTGCTCCAGATCCTTAAGGTGTGCATCCCAGTCAGTGGGATCAAGGCAGACACAGTTGTAACATAGTGGACATTCTGCCATTGGCTTCATTTTACTGATTCCATTTACATCCAAACATCTCTAGTACATTTTCTTTTACTCAAGTTACTCTGTCAATAAGAGTCATTTATAGCCTTTCTCGAGCATATACCTTAAAGATGATTGTATACACATCTAGATTTTATATTTATAGTAAAAAATGGTTCAAAGCAGTTTAAGACTACTTGTCCATATGTTCACAACACTTTGCTCCACAAATCTAAATTTCTCCATCACAGGCCTAT